CCAAAGCCTCTGCCTAGTAAACCCTTCTCCTCCCTTTCTGATGAGCCTTCAGGTGGTCTGGGTTCAGGGCGGGTTAAGTGCTGCATTTCAGCTTCAGGACCTTCTCAGGCCCAGGGAGGGTTAGAGTTGAGTCACAGGCGCCCTGTGTCTCTTTGAATTTACCTTACGTACCAAGTTGTTTCCCAGCACAGTGAACCATGTTGGTGTAAAACAGCGTCTCACTGTGGGTCAGCTCCTGCTTCTCTGATAGAGTGAGAGCTGAGTGTCTCTGTGAATGTTAAGCACTGAGGCTTACTCCTCCTACGAGTTGCTTGCCATACTTTCTCCCAATCGTTTTGAGTTATTTGATTTTTTTTACCCTACTTATTTTTATTATGTCTTAACATTCTGGAAATTCATGCTTTGTCAAGTTAATGCTGTCTACACACTTTTGCAAGATGCTGAACTACAAAAAATTGTTACCTTTTTATTTGAATCACACAGAATAAACTGATAGAGAGCAGAGAAAGTACCGCACGTCAAGTGCGCAAGGGTAGGACCTCGTTCCAGGTGCACATCTCTCTGGGCTTTTGTTACATAGGTCTCCATGTGCAGTTCAGGTTGGCCTTGGGCTCACTTTGTAGCCCAGGCTGGTCTCGAACTTGCAGGGATCTTCCGGCTTCAGTCTCCTGAGTGCTGCGATTACAGGAGTGTGCCACCACGCCCGGCTTCAAATTGCATTCTTACGTTTGGCATTCTGAAAAAGTATTTTTAGAAGGTTTAACTGCTATCCCCAGTGTATTTCATTCAGAGAATTACTCAATAACTTATTCTTCCCTCCTCTAGACCTTAAAAAAGACTCCATATATTGCTAAATAGTAAAGCTCGCACTGCCTTGTACTGGCCAGTACAGCAGTATTGGGTTGAGTAATCAGCCCTGAGTGGTATTGCAGTGCCTGATGGGTAAAGGAGTAATTCAGTGGGGATACCGTCTTGGTCATCCTCTGAGTCTCTGCTGATGTGATAATGTCAGTAGGCTGGAGGTGAAGAACTGTAACATGCTTGAAACTGATTCCTGGACATGCTAACCTAATAATAATTCACAAATCTCCTTTATTGCTGTGATTCTTAAGGTAGATATTAGCTACCTTAGCATAAGGGGCACACAAACAAAAAAATACATGCTCTCCAAAACAACATAAAACCCAAACCCAAACCTGAAACCAGAAAATACTAACTCTACAGAAACTAAAAAAATTTTCCCTCTCCATTTATAAGACCCCGGTTATGGAGCTGGTGGCTGTGTTATCCAATGTGGTGGGGGTGTGCTATCATCCTTCCCAGAGACGTTTTTCCAGGTTCTTGTCCTGAACAAAGAATTGAACAAGACAAAAAATAGCCCTTTTTTTTGGTAGTATCAGAAATCGAACTCAGGACCTTGTGCTTGCCAGGCAAGCTTTGTTGCCACTGAGCTATATCCCTGACCCCAGGATTTGTACTTACTAAAGAGAGGAAAAGAAACAATGGATATTCTGCAGAGTGAGTGTAGGCAGGGCACAGAGGCCAGAGCAATGGCGGGGTCTTGGATAACCGCTATTGCTCAGGCTGATGTCAGATCTAGGTCGTCCTGTCAAAAGCCTGCTTCATTTCTGACCAGAAAAAAATTACTTTCTGATCGTCCCAGGTGCAGGGCTGGGGGAACTGCTTCTCTGTGCGTGAGTCCCGGGTCACTGTGATTGACAGGTCAGGACCGCTGCTCGGTCTCTTGGCCACACCCTAATTTCTGGTCTGATGGTCCTAAACAGAACTTTATTCCATCCTAGCCAAAAGGCAGAGAAGCAATAGAACTTGACTTCCGGCTCCTGGTGGACTTTCCTTTCTCCCCCTGGGCACCATGCTGCCATTCCTTCAGAAATCGGAAGAACAGTCCCACCTGTCTGCTGATGCCTGCATCAGTTTTATGGGCATCTGTGATGCAGCAGCGTTCTCAGCTTCCAATGATCTCTGGGTAGCTTCTCTTCTGGAAAGAGAAACCCAAAGGATATCTTCTTCCAAGGATTTAACATCTTCGACTCCACTACAAAAGGAAAGCTACTCTTCTGTAGACAGTGGAGCACCACGGAACCTGTCCTAACTCCGTGCATTGCATTATATGTACAGAGCTGCCTAGGAGAACACTGTAGCCCTCAACTGGCTTTCAGCAGTGGCCGTGCTGATGCGCAGCCCTTGCAGCAATGCGCAGACCATGATAACCTGCCTATTCCTGCCAACTACTCTGTGTGAGGTGGGCCAACGGCAGTCTGCCGGGACTGAGGCTTGAGGGAGAGCTTGTGAGGTTTCGGGGCAGGAAGGCAGACATCAGAGTTGAAGCACTAGCTCCAAAACCTAAGGTGCTTCCTCACCAGTGTGATGCAGAGGTGCCCTTGGGCCTCCTGCCTAGCCTGGTGCACAGCGTGTACTGCATCCCCCCACTGTCACAGTCACTGCCCTCTGCTCAGGTTGAGTTCAACCCTGGCCTGAAGCCTTTGCTCCAGTTAGCAGTTGTTCTGACTGGATTTAGGACTGCCTTGCCCCCCCCCTCCCCACGGTAGATACGTGTTTGCCTCTCTACTGTTGCCATGGGTTGCAGGAAAAGTGGAAGATGGGAATTACTTATTGGGATTCCAATAAATTTCCCCTGGGACTACAAATGTGGACTCCTTAGTGACAAGATAAAAGCTCTGCAATGTGACATCAGAATATTTAATAAAAAGCAAAATAAAACAAAAAAGTGTGGACTCCTTCAGACCATGGCCTGGCACATGGAGTGGGCTCTCCATTGCAGTCTGGAGGAGGTGAACCCCTTCGCACACCCCCAGAGGAGCAGATACCCCATTGTGGATTGTGTGCATAGCCATTCGTTGTTCTTTGATGACCCTCTCGTTTATTATCCGTGTTGAGCACTTAGTGCTGGGTGATAGTGGTCATTTTTCAGTTTAGTGAGAAGAATATGCTGCTGTAAAATTCTTTGAGTTATTTTCTTTATGGAAAATATATCGCTATGGAGAAGAAAATCTAGCTTCATTGCTCAAAGATAAGGTTTTCTTGTTGACATTTTTCCTGTGGATATATATTTCACAGAGTTAAACTACAGTTTAAGCTTCTTTCATTGAATATTATTAACTAATGGACATTAGTAATGCTGTAGAGAGCAACCTCTTTGCAATTCTTATGACCAGAAACCTGGAACTATAATTGTTGATCATTAGAAACTATTTTTAGTCTTTTTGACAAATCATATTTGATGCCAGTTGCTAATAATTCATTCCACACGCCTATAAGTGGCATATGAGAGTACCTGTGTCATTTTAGTTATAGGACTTTCCATGAGACCAAAGTATTGCTGACTTTGATATAGGGAAAAATGTTAACTCTTGACTTGCTAGATGTCAGATATGCTGCTGAATTTGTGTTCCCTGAAATTGAAGAATGAATTAAGGGACAACGTAGGTTAGGAGTAGGAAGATTTTATTGAGAGAGAGACAGCTCCTGAGAGACAGGAGGGGACCCAAAAGTGGGTGCCAACAAGCCCACTTCTCAGAGGAAGTTTTATAGAGTAAAACCATGAGGTGGGTACGTTGTGGGTCAAAACTACAACCAACCAATAAGATTAGAAATATAACTGCTTAGGTATCAGTGTTCCAATGGGAAAGTAGGTTACATAGCAAGGGCACAAGGAAAGAACAAGGACATTTTCACGAAGAGGTCACTCACTGGGTGACTGATGTCGATCTAGACCTTATTGGATCAGGCGATACCAATTATAGTCTTAAATTTATAAGACCAATTGTCTTAAACTTATCGTTTATCCCTTGGGGACCCATGCAGACCTGGTAATTCTTTACCTTGAGGCCTGGTCTCCAACAGATGCACCTCCAGCCATAGTTATAATGTGTTCTCACCTCCTGCACTGATTTTTTTTATCCTTGTCTGGGACTGTCTAGATTATTTTTATTTAACTTAGCTGTCTATAATAATTCAGTAATATACGTAGGTCGTTTGTGTCTCATTCATATTTTTTATTGTAGAGAAATTTCTGATTGATTGATTTTTGAGACAGGGTCTCACTGTGTAGTCCAGGTTATCCTTGAACTCACTATGTAGCCCAGACTGGCCTTGAGCTCACTGGGATACTCCTGCCTCAGCCCCCTGAGTCCGGGGTAACAGGGGTAGGCCACCATGTCTGGCTTTGAGACAGGATCTTGTGTTCAGATTGGCTTAGAACTCACTCTGTAACCTCAAGCTCAGAGTGAGCCCCTCCTGCCTAAGCTTCCTGAGTGCTGAGATTATAGGCACATGCCACAACACCCAGTTTAAATTCTGAATATTTATTAACCATTTACACTACTTTTATGAATTCACTTCATGAACTTGCTTTTCTGCAGTAGCCTGTGGTTTTCTTATTAAACAATTTTTATAGTATTCCCAGAACTCTGAGATGCTAAGGCAGGAGAATCACAAGTTCATTCCCAGCCTTGGCAATTTTAGTAACTTAGTGAGGCCCTGCCTCAAAATAGAAAGTAGAGAAAGGATGCACCGCAGTGAAGGTCCTTTGTTCAGCAGTACTGGGCAAGACAAAGTGTCATGACCCTCAACCATTGTCATCTGTGGTAAATATTTTTGCCATTTTGCATATGTGTTTTGACTTTCCGGGCTTTACCAGGAAAGCACAGAAATCCTTTTTTTTTTTTGCACAGTTTGGATCTGTGTCTGAGAGAGTTTGTTTTCATGAGTTCTTCTGGGGATAGTGTTTGCAGAGGAAATCCAGTCCGGGAGTTAGAAAGAGCCGAACTGAAAGAGCTGGGGAGAGGTTGTTTTGCTGTGGTGTCACCTCTCTCCTGGCCATACCATGCACCTTATTTTAAAGTCTGCGTGTCACTCCACGCACCCATACTTAATTTCTGTAAACTCCACAAAGCTGCCCCATGGGTGAGTCGTGCGGTCCTGTGGCATTTTCTCATGTGCTGATGCTTTCTTTTAAGGTATTATCCAAAGAGATGAATCACCTATGGAGAAAGGGCTCTCTGGTCTTCGAGGAAGGGAGTTTGAGCTCTCTGACGTGTTTTATTTCTCCAAGAAGGGGTTGGAAGCCATTGTGGAAGATGAAGTGACACAGAGGTTCTCCTCAGAGGAGCTAGTGTCCTGGAATCTCCTCACTAGAACCAATACCAACTTCCACTACATCAGCCCTCGGCTTACTCTGGTGTGGGTGCTGGGTGTCGTAATCCGCTATTGTCTCCTCCTGCCTCTGAGGTGAGTCTCCTGCCTGGTGACCTGGCCTGTGTGTAATGGCTGCAGAAGAGCTCGGTGGTGGCCTTCTACCCATCCCCGTAGGAGATGCCCTCAGAATGTGGCTCCTGGGGAAGGCAGCGTCTAATCCCCCCACTGTGTCACCGTGTTTCCCCCAGTGAAGTTGTGCATTCGGAATTCAGTCCGTGTCTTACAGTCTGGGTCCACTTTGGGTTATGACCCTAATTTAAGGAAGGATAGAAAGGGGACTTAACAGAGAAGAGGAGAGAGACAGGATAGCTCCATTTTCCAAGTTGGTGGCTGATTCCATGATGATCACTCGCAGCTCTCCTTAGGAAAGCTCCCCAGCTGGGTCCCCTCTGCTTTTAGGCTTGAACAGTGCCTGAGGAGGGGGAGCCCTGAGCCTGTCTTACTGGAGGCCCAGTGGGGGAGTCATCAGAGTAAAAGACCCTGGACAGTTGGGGTGAAGGCACAATGATGCAGGAGGCAGCCATGGCCTTTGGTGCTGGCCATCTTGCTTCCTTTCCCTGGAGTTGTTCTTGGCTCCTCTTAACAGCTTTCAGTCCTGGTCACAATGGAACCCTTGTTTCTACCCCGGGTGGCTTATACTTATTCCACTGATTGAGTACCAGGAAGACCCTGCTTCAGAAGGGGCCCGTGCATGTGGCTGTCCTCCCTTTTCCTTGTGTTGCCAACGTCATGACATTATGGCACAGCCTGTCTTTGGGGAGTTGCTTCAGCAGTGATAACAAAGTGCATTTCAGGGTTTCATGCACTATTGCTTGAGCCTTAAGCCAGTGTCCCGGAATTGGGGCTCCTGTGCTCTGGGGAGACCTGTGACCTGCCATTCGCATGCACGAAAGAAAGACCTGAGCTTTTATTTTTAATAAAAGCTTCTGTCCTCTTTGTAGTCAGAGCCCTGTTGTTATTCTTAGAAAGAAGCACAACTTTACTGAAACTTACCATGGCTTAGCTCTTGCATCTTGTCTTGGTCCTCAGTCAGGCAGCGTCTCAAGGGTAACTGGGAAAGCCAAGGGAGCGGCACAGAGCGGGAGAGACCACCCTTGGCCTTGGTTAGCTGTCCCCCGGTAGTTGATTGGATTAGTTCATTAGTAAACCAGTACTTACTAGAGTCAAGTGGCAGAGAGAGTTGTGCAAATCAATCACAGATTGAAAAGAATCCAGTAGCGAGGCATCCGAGAACAGAAAGGAAATGCAGAGTGAAGACTCCTGCTCTTAGTATGTACTCTTCAGGGAGAGGAGCCGCTTGGTAAACGATGAGTAAAAGAAGCAGGTGTTACAGAGTGAGCATTTAAAAAAGATCACCCTAGCCGATTGTGGTGGTGCATGTTCGGGAGACTGAGGCAGGAGGATCGCCATGAGTTCTGAGGCCAGCCTGGGCTACATTGTGAGTTCAAGGCCAGCCTGAACTACGTGGTGAGACCTTGTTTCAAAAAAACAAACAAACAATCTTACAAATAAAATGCGATTAAGTTATCTTTATTCCTTATTTACTTTGAAGGATTTTAAATCTCAACATTTCCAAGTAATTGTGTTGACTTTTCTAGAGATGCTTATTTTCCTTATATAGTGATTGGCATGGAAAGGGACAATACAGTGACATAAAGGGATTTCTGCATGGTGATTTGTTCTAATTATTGAAAGAGCTTTGAAGTCCATTCCCTTGTCCAGCTCTCTCAACACCTTGATGATTTTATAGATTGAACGTGACAGTTTTTGAACTAATTTCCAGGCCTTCTATAAGCACATGTAGGCTGGTTATAAATATATGTATTTGGGGCTGGGGGTTTTAGCTCAGTGGCACAGTGCCTGCTGGCAAGCGCAAGGTCCAGAGTTCAATTCCTGGGAACAAAAAAGTGTGTGTGTGTGTGTGTGTGTATGAGAGAGAGAGAGAGAGAGAGAGAGAGAGAGAGAGAGAGAGAGAAAGAGTGTTAGAGACAGGGTCTTGCTATGCAGTTCAGGCTGGCCTTGAGCTTACTTTGTAGCCCAGGCTGGTCTCAAACTTGCAACAATCCTCCTGCCTCAGCCTCCCCAGTGCTGAGATTACAGGTGTGAGCCACCATGCCCAGCTTTATGTTGTTGTTTTGAAAATGGTATCATTTGTTTTTGCAATTATGAAACTTTTTTGCCCTCTCAGAATCTATAGACTTAATCCAAGTTTTTAATGGCTATGTCATATTTCTGCAACTTACCTATGCTTTAGTTATCTAGGACTCTTTAAGTTATTTACCTCCTAGTCACCAACTTTTTGCATGGCTTTCTCTTTTGTTTTTCAGGATTACCCTGGCTTTCATTGGGATCAACCTGCTGGTTATAGGGACGACTCTGGTTGGGCAGCTGCCAGATAGCAGGTGACGTGGCTCTCTTTGTCCAACCGTCAGTAGTAGAATGTGCTTTTCCTTAGCAGAAAGAGCGTTTGCTTGGTTCCTACATGCGGCCTTCATGCCTGCATTGTGCACTGAATGTCTCACAGAGTACTTACTTTCCACTTACTGTGTCTAGTGTGTGGCCCAGCCCACTTGCTAGAACTCTGCTCAGTGCACCTTCGTAGTCTTTGCTTTTCCACAATACTTCCATAAAAATTGAAAGAAGTCTTTTTCAAGAGAAATGAAGAAAAAAACCGAACGCACCAAGGATTTCAAAGGAAAGAAGCCGTCTTGCGGTTGGTGGGGTGGAAGGCCACGTGCTCACGTTGGTCAGTAGTCCATTGTCCTGCAGCAGAAGTGGGCAGCCTCTCTAGGGCGCTGTGCAGTTCTCCTGAGGAGTGTGTGCCACACACTGACGGGCCTCAGACGCTGCCTGTGCTGGCTCGGTGGGACACAGCACAGCCTGCTGTCATCACTAGCACCTGCGGCGTCACTGTCCTGTCCCCTGGAAGTGTCTGGAACCGCGGGGTGAGACATCCTTTCTCTTGCAGCTTCAAGAGCCAGCTGAGCCAAGTGGTGCATCTAACCTGCTGCCGGATCTGTGTGCGCGCCCTCTCGGGGACCATTCATTACCACAACAAGTGAGTCCCTGCCCAGCCTCCCTGGCGGGGACACCCTGGGCCAGTGCTTCCCACATGTATCCTTGGTTTGTGATAGACACTTCAGTTGTAGAACTCTCCCCTACCTGAACAGCAAAGTCAGACAAAATCTGCCTGGCATTCATAACTTTGCTTGAACCAAAAATCCAGTGTGAAAAACCTTTCAGGCTGACAATGAGTTGCATGTGTTGTCTTGCTGTGCACACACGAAAGGGGTGACGCTTCATACAGTGCTGTGTGCAGTAAGAGCCTGGTCCTCACCTTGTTTGTGTAAATACTGTAACTGTGGCTCCAAAGAAAGTCAGTGGTACCAGCAGCAAAGTTAAGAGGAAAGCCGAGAACCACAATAAAGAAATTGTGAAATCTCTTAAAATCCAGGCAAAGTGAATTTGTAAATGGAAATTTGGACCTCAGAATCGGTTCTTTAGTTTTCTGTTACTTATGGGAGAAACATGCTCAGTTCTTCATCTTTTCTGTGTTCAGACATGGCTTTGTAAGGAGCCTCACAAAGCTGCTCAGCTGGCTTCACACTGGTTATCGGCACGGAGGGTCACAGCAAACGGGCACGGTTAGGCCTGGCGTGAGGGTGGTGTCTGTGGCCTGCAATGTGCTGAGGTCTGGACCAGCTTCCTGATTTCGGCCTTGCCACGTGTAAAATTCCAGAACAGGTCCGGAGAGGGATACACTGTGGTGCTCTCATCCTTGAATAGAGAGGGTAAAGGTAGTTGAGGGAAAGCACCGTATAAGCTAAGTGAAAATTGTTGGGTTTCTAAACTACTGGTTTTGGTTTGTTTTTGAGATGGGGTCTCACTGTGTAGCCCAGGCTGGCCCTGACTTGCTGCAGTCCTCTTGCCTCAGCCCCCTGGGTACTGGGATTATAGGTGTGCACCACTGCACCTGGTTTGAATTACTTTTCTGTGAATTAATTTAATTTTTATTGTATTTCATAAAATACCATTTCTTATAAAAAAAAAAAAAGTCCTAGGAAGCCAGGCATGGTGGGGCAAGCCTGTAATCTCAGTACTCAGGAGGCTGAGGCAGATGGATCACTACCAGTTTGAGGCCAGCCTGGGCTATACACAGTTCAAGGGCTGCCTGGACTGCATAGTGAGACCCTGGCTCAAGAAGACTACCAGAAAAAAAAAAAAATCTAGGAAGGATATCCATGTCTTGCGGAGTGGCTCTTTTTGTCTCATTTGTTGAAGAGAAACATTTTGTTTCACCATGTATTACCAACATAAAAAGATCCTTAAAATTTTAAATCCTGATTTTGCAGTTGGGCAGTCTGGCAGAAGTGTGGAGAAAGCACTTTAGTGGCTTAGAGGTTCACAGTTTACTGGAGAAGTGCTTCTGGTGTCCAGGAGACTGTGCTAAAAGCTATTATTTATGTATTTGAGGCTTTTGCTAGGAGGGCCCAGGCAAAGCTGCTTTGCTATACTTGTATAAAGTTCTGGTTTAGCTCAGGGGCAGGGATGGGCAGACCATTCTGCTGGCTCAAGGCTGAATCTGACTTTGCTCTGTAAACAAAGTTCTGTTGGAACTCCACAGGGCTCCTTCCTTTAATATTATCTGTGGCTGTCATCGGGCCACAGGGCTAGTCCAGCAGATGTGACAAGGATGTCTGGCCCTTAGAGCCTGAAGTGCTCACTCTGTCCCTTGACAAGAATGGTTTACCAACCTCAGTTCCAGGGGGATGAGGAGGCTGTGGTGAATGTATTCAGGGTCTCCAGGAAGCCACTAAACAGTGATGCTTATGGAGGTCAAAATAATACGAAAATATTTAAGGTTAAACAAGCATGACTATGAACTACAAGGGGAGGGTTGTGGGTCCCTTCTCCTGTCGTCAGCACACATTGGGATTACCTTGTGAAGAGGCATCTGTGGACCTCCTCCCTCAGAAGGATGCGTCTCTTCCTGCTGCTTTGCGAACTCTCGGCCATTTACCAGGGCTTCGTGTTTACATTGTTTGTGATTGCAGGCAGCACCGGCCCCAGAAGGGCGGCATTTGTGTCGCCAACCACACGTCACCCATCGATGTGTTGATCCTGACAACTGATGGATGCTATGCGATGGTAAGAACGGCTCACTAGTAACGTTCCAGCAGTTGTGTGCTTAAGTTGTTCAAATTTTAACATTCTGACAAATCAAAAGTGTCCCATTAGAAATTCAGCTTATCGTGTTGTAGATGTGTGAGTTATGTAATGTATTTACATCAGAAGCAAACAGTGAAAGGAAGTTGTCATTACATTTAAGGCAGTAAAACTTAATGAAATGTAGACTTGTCGGAACTGATGGTGCTTTGAAAAGTTGATTCCATTTCGCTTGTAAAATCCCTGCCAGTATTTAATAATACTTCACGAGATTCAGGCTTTCCTCCTTAGAGGACACAATCCCCTAGGCCACTGATTCTTTGCTTCTCCAGGGAGATGCACACTGTGCATGGCTCTTGATTGACCCTCTGGCAACAAAGGCAGGTATTGACCCCACGCTGCTTTTCCCAGACCCGCACACAGCCTCAGAAGCAAAGCAAAACATGAAACCAGCGCATCTAAAGTCAATGGTAAAAGCAAACCACAGCAGAAACCACTTCCTAGCAGTTTTTCAAATTTGTGCTTTTTATCGCATATATATATATATATATGTATATATATATATATTTTTTTTCCCCTTTTTCTTTTTTTGAGGCAGAGTCAGTTCAGGCTGGCCTTTAGCTCACTTTGTAGTCCAGGGTGATCTCCTCGGACTTGCAATGGTCGTCTTGCCTCAGCCTCCTGAATGCTGGGATTATAGGCATGCGCAACCATGCCTGGATTATTGCTCTTACATATTTGTCAGGACTTCCCACGACTAAGTGTCAGGTGAATTCGGGACAGTAATGGAAGGTGGCCTCTCCTGAGCAGTGGCTTCGTGTCCCATGATGTGCGGGTGTGTGCAGATACAGGGATTAGACAGGGCCCTGGAGGTCTTTCCTCTTCCCATGGTGGAGGGTTGGGCTTTGCGGGAGCATGAGTTTTATTTCCCTGGTACTCTGTAGTGTTGACAGTTTGTTTTGGTTCTTTTCTTTCTTTCTTTTTTTTTTGTTTTTGAGACAAGGTCTCACTGTGTAGTGCAGGCTGGCCTTGAACTCATGGGGATCCTCCTGCTCAGCCTCCTCAGTGCTGGGGTTACAGGTGGGTGGTGCCCCCCTGGCCCTGGTCTGGTGCCTTCCTGAGAAGGTGCCCTTGGTGGTTGGGTGCTGCTGCCGCAGGTGAGTAGAAAGGCCTGTACACGTGCTAGTATCTGATGTCTGGGTTAGGGTCAATGAGAGGCTTAAAAATCATTTTCGGAGAGTTGAGATTGCACCGTGTTTTGGCACTGAGCTGCATCCCTGGCCCTTTTTATTTTTCACGATGAGACAGAAGGTGTTGAGCCACTGAGTTGCCCTGGTGGTGCTAGATCTTATGATCCTCCAGTCTCAGCCTCCTACAGTGCTAGAATTAGATGTGTGTGTCACCTCATTAGCTAATAATGGAATTTTGAAGGCCTCTTTGAAATTTGTCATTTGTTTAAAGCTGTCTAAAATATAAATTTGGTTGCTATTCTTGGACAGCTACCCGTTAACACAGTATTAAATTCCTCTAAATAATGAAACACTTCCGAATCTAAGACGCTTCAGCTGGCTTTGTGAAAATCATAGGAACTGGTGTGGCTTGCTCCTTTTCAGGCTTAGCAGTTAGCCAACAGGGAGGGAGTTTAAAATCGAAAGCCACTTATTATGCATCATACAGATGTGAGTGGGGTACAGGTCACTGTACCCCCGAAGCCCGGGCACAGGCAGGTTGGGAGTGCAGGGGCTGCCCCTTGCAGCCGGCGATCCGCCGCCCCTCGCGGATCCTGCGGTGGCACCGGGCTGGGCAGGGCTCTCGGGAGCCTGCTCTGAGAGCGAGCGCCAGGGTCTCGGCTGCTCCCGGCCAGCCTGCACCACCTCAGCGCCCCAGCTGCGGCCTGGGATGAGGTTTCTGCAGTGGCCTGAGGTCACCTGGGCCGTGACTGCGATGCCGAGTGGGGATCCCCGAGTGGGGTGCTGCGGCCATGTGTGACTAGGTGCAGTGCGTCGCTGGCCGAGGGTGCAAAGAGCCGGAGCCAGGCAACTGCGAGTCCTCTGGGACTGGCACGCGAAACCCGCACTGACCGGAAGTGTCTGGCACGGAGCAGAAGTGCAGGAAAAGAGTCGCTGTACTGGAGGGCAGCCGGGATTGCCATGGTGACTTTTCTTTACTAAAAAGAAGAACTTTTAATTTACAAGTTAAAAATAGCCAGAGATTTAGCTCAGCAGCGTAGCGCCTGCCTGGTAAACGCCAAGTTTGAGTTCGATCCCCGGTGCCAGAACAAAACACCCCACTAAAAGTTAAAAATAATGTGTATTGTGGAATGGCTAAATCAAGGTAATGCACGTAGCCATGACCTCGAGGACTTTTTTTTTTTCTTTTGAAGACCTTTACTTTTCAAATTAGAAGCATTTGCAGTCTGGAATAAGGACAGTGTTTCCTGGCACAGCCACATCCGCTCCCCGCTTTTATCCGTTAGTGACGCGCTGCCTCATTTTCTTCAGGGCTTGTGCTCTTGTGCCGGTTCCTTCTGTCTGTACATGAAACTGTGTGTAAAATATTTGTGTTTTTGATATACATATGTTAAGGTTTATAATATTTATACTGGAGATCTGAATTATATGCCAGTGTTTCCAGTTAGTAGAGTTCTTTGTTAGTATTTTTGAGTAACTATTTGTATCTTCTGTTTTTTCATGATAAAAAGTCTATTATCTAATGATATCAATATACTCATTTTCTCAATCTTATAATTTATTTAAATTGTTTCACCTGTGTAATATTTATTTTTTTGGGTGCTAGGACTCGTACTCAGGGCCTCATGCTTGCCAGGCAGCTGCTGCGCCTGTTTAATATTTAAAAATCAAATGTAAGTCAGACAAGGTGACACACACTTGTGAAAAGCAAAAGCCCGCAGAAGTACAAATAAAAAAGCAAACAGAAACCCCAAATTCAGGGTTAAATTTTTGTAGTCCTATCCAAGTTGGTGTATGGTTGGATACAATCAGTGTTTGTGAATTTCTTGGATTTTCTCCCTTTTGCTTCAGCCTCTTTAAGTCATTTGAGATACCTTTGAGTTTCCCTCAGCTCACTTGTAATTTATTACCATCCTTGTGGTTTTAATTTTACTTTTTGAATATGTAGGCAGTTCACATGCTGCCAGATCAAAAAAGGTGGTATCAAGGAGACATCCCTCCCCCGTCCAGTGTACCCTGCTCCTTTTCACACTTGTAGGCTCCCAACTTCAGTGCTGTGGGTTATCCTTTCGTATTTGTTTCTGTAGAAAGAAGCAGGTGCACATTGTGTTACCCCCCCCCTTTTAGTCATACCTGCAAGGTAACATCCTTACTTGTTCTTTGGTGCTTTTTGCTTACCCTCTCATGTGCATCACTGCTTATCAGTCATAGAAAGAACCTTGCTGTATAACATTCCACTGTAGTGTGTACCCTGTTTATTCACCCATTTCTCAGTATTCGTACATTTGCATAGTCACAGTATTTTACAGTAATAAGCGAAGTGATGGTTAATGACCTCGTTCATTTTCATTTTGTTGAAGATATGGCTTCAGGGTCAATTCGTAAAAGGAAAATCCCTGAGATGAAGGACAGATGCATGTGTAACCTTGATAGGTGTTACCCGTTTCCTTCTACTGTGTTATAATCCCCTCTGGAGGATGGAATCTGGTGTGTTGTCACGTTGAATAGCTGTGAGTGTGATGGGTATGAAATGACCTTTCAGTGTAGTTTTAATTTGAATTTTACCAATCCTGATCAAGTTGTGCTCCTAGTTTTTAAAACTAATGCATAGTTCACGTAGCTACGTACGCTAAAGTGCACTTGTACTGCCAGAGAGTGCTTTGCTTACATTTGGCCTTTCAAGAGCTTCGGTTAGACTTAGGATTGAAGTATTTAGAAGGCAGCTGATCTTGTCTCCAGGTGGGTAGAGGAATTGTTACTTTTTTAAAAAGTTGTTTCTGGATCACTGCACTTTTTCATTTTTCTCTTTTTGCCCTGGTTCTTCTAGGTTGGTCAAGTTCACGGTGGATTGATGGGGGTTATTCAGAGAGCCATGGTCAAGGCATGTCCTCATGTCTGGTTTGAGCGCTCAGAGATGAAGGATCGACACCTGGTTACCAAGAGGTAGTACTGGGCTGGGGATACAGCCCAGCAGCATAAGCATCTGGCTGGCAAGCGCAAGGTCCTGAGTTCAATTCCCAGTATTCCCCTCCACTTCCCAAGAAAAAAACCAAAAAAAAGCAGAGAGGTAGGACTGAGATTACCGGGTTAGCAGAAGCTGATAAATTGAGGCTCTGGCCAGAGTAGGCAGGGACCTATTATACTTCAGAATTAGAACATACAGAGCTCTAGTATAGTTGAAGTTTTCCTGATGAATCACTCAGCAAGATTTTAGAAAGTTCTGTATTCAAGGTGGGATATGAAGAGATGAGAAGGCTCATAGGTCTATGTTGCTATGGCTTAGGTATAGTCCTGGCAGTGAACTTTTGAAGTTGTTGTGTTGAAGGCTGAATAATTGCCAACTGCTCAGTATATAGATGCTTAAGCACTGTCACTGAAGTCCAGCTACAGTCAGAGCTCATGACCTTGTGTCAGTCAGCTTTCTGTTACTGTGCCAAAATACTGGAGACAGTTTAGTAGAAGGGTCTTTCTCTCCTGGGTCCTGATTTCAGAGGGTGCAGGCCATGGCTAGTGCAGTTCAAAGGGCCACTTGGTGTGGCACAGCAGGACGAGGAGGCGTGTTCACCTCCTGGGGCCTGGGAAGCAGGAGAGCAGGGCCTCAGAGTTCCAGCAGGACTGGGAGAGCAGCCTCCAGGGCCGACTGCCTTCCAGAGGGGGCCCCACCTCCTGAAGTTCATTCTGGGAGTGCTTGGGCTGGCAGCAACTCCCTGCACTACACCTGGCCTGAGCACACCCCCCCCCCCCTGGTGTGGGGAGCACAGCAGATCCCCGTGGAAAGGGAAGGGGGAACATCAGGGCCCAAGAAGAGGCAGCCACCAGGAACTTCTGTCAGGGAGAACAGCTTCTTGCCTGCGGCCCTTAAGTGGAGGTGACTCTGGTCATTGCTTCTATAAATGTGTGGTGGCCCAGGCCTTTTCTTCTTTCCATTACTGGGAATTGAACCCAGGGCCTTTGCACTGAGCTGCATTCCCAGTATTTTTTTATTTTTTTATTTTTGAAACAGGGTCTCACTCAGTTGCTAAGTTGCCCAGGTTGGGTTTAAACTTGTGATCCTCCTGCCACAGCTCCCAGAACAGCACTTGTTAGAATCTGCTTCTGGTTGGAACCTGTGTTTCCTGTCTTGAGGTGATTGGCAGTGGGGTACTCGGGCAGCTGTCTTCTCTTACTTTACCAGCTTCCAGGGAGCGGTGAGTTGCAGTTGTGTCCAGCTGCGAGGAGGACAGGCCTCATTTTTTAGGATATGTGCTGCTGAAATGAGCACCAGGTAACTTCTTTTAGAAACGGCTCACCAATTAAACATACTCGAGGTCCTTCTCACCAAACAAAGAATTAAATGATTTAAGCCCAAAATGCTGCCGAACATTTATTTGTAAAGTGGAAGTGAGGCAGAAACTGACTGCAGAGCAAACTTGGAACAAGTGAGGAAGAGAGAAAGCAAAAGCAAAAGCACATCCTCTCTGGAAGACACAGGGCAGGCTACTGTTGAGAGTCAGGAGAGCAGGCTCCTCCTGGTCCCCGACCCCGCAGCCCGCCAGAAGTCCCACAGAGGGGTCCCCGGGCTGTGCTGTGCGAATCCTGGGTCTCCCATGCCTCCCTTCTCAGCTAGTCTAAACCACGCCCTGTGGGAGAGCTTCCTCCTGCGCTCTATGGCAGGTGCTTCCTCGGAAGTTCATCCTGGCTTGCTTTACGAGTCTCCTGCTCCCTGGCTGGAAGGCAGGCAGGTGTGGCCCTCAAGGGCTCAAGCTCAGGTCACAGTGGCAAGGGTGCTTTTCAAGAGTGAGCCAAAGACACCAGAAGTCACTCACTTCGAAATTAGAATAGAGCATTTGAAAGACTGCAGAACTCATTTCTTTTACTTTTTTAATTTTTTAAAAATATTTTTGAAAAATGGGGGCTGGGGATTTAGGCCAGCGGCATAAGTGCCTGCCTGGCAAGTGCAAAGTCATGAGTTAGAGACCTGGTGCCAAATAATGATAATAATAATAGTAATAAACTTTTTTTTGTTTTTTTGAGACTGGGTCTTGTTCTGCAATTCAGGCTGGCCTTGAACTCACTTTGTATCCTAGCCTGCCTCAAACTTGCAGCGACCCTCCTGCCTCGTTCTCTCGAGTCCTGGGATACAGGTGTGCACCTGACTCTTGGGTTTTTAAAGAAAGGCACATCTGGAGCTTAATTCCCTCACCTGTCCCTGACTGCTGCTTGCCCTGTTGCTTTTAAGTTACATTTGTGCTTGTTGAGTGTGAGGAATATGAGAAAGGACTCCGGTCTCCCTCTTTTGAAAGATAAAATTTTGATGTGTTTTTCTTTACAGACTAAAGGAACATATTGCTGATAAGAAAAAATTGCCCATATTAATCTTCCCTGAAGGTAAGAATGCAGATTGCCTCTCTACTGTTTTGTTCAACTTTATAATATCTAATGAGATAGACAATTCTTTTTAAGGAAACAAGAGACATCGTTGATAACCATTGTTGATAACCTTGTACTCTGTTTTACATCATGTGCTATGTCTATCCTTGGTTTTGACTGACAGCTTTGTTTTGCCATATTTGACTTTATTCTCTCCCCCCTAAAAAGTAATAAGAACTAAGGAGTAATAAAACCCAAAATGTAAATTTTGTTGTAAAAAAGAGAGGGGAAAAAAGAGCTCTAAAGGATACAACAGCAAGTGTGTTTAAGGGTGTTAAATAGCTGACCATATTAATGTTTTTGGTTGGATCATTGAACACAACTGTTTGCAGTCTCACTGTTTGAATGTCCACTTTGTATTCTTTGATACTGTAATTTGAGCAACTATTTCTAAGATGATAATATGTAATCTATTAACTGGTGATTTCTTACTTTTTTTTTTTTTTTTGTAGTTCTGTATTACGTGTACCCTTACACCGCTTTGTTTTGTTTTGTGTTTTTCTCTTTTTCCTTTTAAATAAAATTAAAAAAAAAAAAAAGAATGCAGATTACTGTCCACCACACTCCAGGGAAACGGCGGTCCCTGAAAGTGGTGGGTGGAATGCATTGGGGCTGGCCTTCTGGGTCAGGTCTCTCCTGTCCTGTAGGAACGGGTCAGGAGGGTAGGAGTTTTTCTGACCCATCAATTTCTTATTGTCTCTTGAGCTTTGGTGGCAGTCATGGCACACTTTTGAATTTGTCTTTTCTGGGTAGTACCCTGAGAAAGGTATTGTCTGTGACTTTTTAATGGTTGTGTCTTACTTTGGGTTGGGTTTTCTTGAGAGAGGTCCTATGTAGCCCAGGCTGCCTCCACCTCCCAAGTGCTGAGATAACAGGTAAATTTTAAAAAAATGACTCACACTGTTACTCTTGTCTGCCTTCAGGGACCTGCATCAACAATACTTCGGTCATGATGTTTAAAAAAGGAAGCTTTGAGATCGGAGGAACTATACATCCAGTCGCAATCAAGGTGAAGCATTTTAAAAGGGCATTGGATTGGTGCTGGTGTTTTTGACATAATTACAAATGTAAAATTTGCAGGAATGAGGGACAGCTGCATGCTCTGTTCAGGTCTCTGCTAGTTCTTCGCTTTTGCCCCATTTCTTTTTCTCATCCTCTCTCCCTCTCCCCCTTTGTATGTAGGTACATACTGGGCAGCTGTGTGCCAGGGGTCAGTTATATTGAGTAATAAGAATGTGGTCACTGGGGGCTGGGGATTTAGCTCAGCGGCATAAGCGCCTGCCTTGCAAGCAGGAAGTTGTGAGTTCAATCCCTGGTACCGATAAGACCACCCCCCCCCCCAAAAAAAAGAGAGAATATGGTCACTGGTTGCTTCACCGTGTGTGGAGAGCCGTGTGCCCTGCATGCTGGGTGCCAGCAGGCCTGGACCCCGGGAACCAGAGGCTGCTCACTCCTTGTCCTGGTGCAGCCCAGTACCCTGCGACTGTTGGGTGCACCGTGGCTGGGACCGGTGTCAGCTTGTTTACTGCTGTTTTTAAAAAGCCAGAAACCTGAATTGGACTCCAGGGTGTGCTTCAAAGGACGTCTTCACACACACTCTGTGCTTCCTGGAATTGACGTTTAGAAGTTTAGCTGTGAGACTCAGCAGGGAGAGAAAAGCAACCAAGACAGATTATAAGACGTTTTTCCATCATATTCCTCTCTGAGACTCCCAGGGTTTTTAGTATCTCCAGAATATATTTTTCCATTTTTTGTAAGATTCAAAAGTAATATAAACTCTAAAAGGTCCTCTAAAAAAGCTCTGCAAAAAGTAGAAATGAAGAGGACCTGATGAGGAGAGAGACTGGAGAGCAGCGTGCTGCAGCAGCAGGCGCTCGAGGAGCCCCGCTGCCCCGTCAGACTGGAGGCCCCGGAGGAGGTGGCCCAGGGTCCATTAGGATGACCTCCTGCAGTGCGGCCTAAGCATTGGGAACCAAGGGGAAGGTGCTTCCACAAAGGTGCACCCAGATCGAGTGGGGAAAGGTTAGGGAAGGAACTCAGGGCGCTGAAAGGATCGCCTCCCTGGGGAGGACAGAGAAGCAGAAACAGAGGCCGTAATGCGGGTTTTTATGAAGGGTTTTCGAAGAGAAGACGGAAGGTAACAAGTTCGGAATGGTCTTACCAAGGTGGAAAAGCCTCAAGCTGCCCGGAAGAGCACATTAGCTCTGAAGCTGCTGCTTAGTGGTGGGAGGAGAGGCCACACAAAAAGAAGACTTTAGCAAAATAAAATTCTCTTACCATTTGGGGAAAGAAACAAAAAGAGTGTGGTCATTAGTGAAAAAGATATTGTCCCTCCTTTCCAGTTCCGGCCTTCTGGCTGTAGAGACACCTATTTGCTAGTTCCATGAGTACCTCCCCGTGGCATTGCCCTGGGGCACTGTCTAGAAAAGCACTGTCTCTAGTCAGGGGAGTTAGCTCACCTGGTTTTCTTTTTGTGATCAGTTCTGACAAAAAGAAGAGTATTTGCCTTTTGGAGTCTGACAGCTGTTTGCCTGCCGTTCCAAAAACGCTGACGAAGCCACCACTGTGTGCCTGACCAGGGTGCATCTTTCTTTTCTTTTCTCAGTATAACCCCCAGTTTGGTGATGCCTTTTGGAACAGCAGTAAATACAACATAGTGAGCTACCTGCTTCGCGTGATGACCAGCTGGGCCATCGTCTGTGACGTGTGGTACCTGCCACCCATGACCAGAGAGGTATTCCTCAGATCACACCTGGGCTTGTGCACTGACCCAGGAGCTCGGAACCTGGGCCCTCACCTCTTCACACTGTGCCTTTCTGTGTTCCCAACAACAGTAATATGTCCATTGCTCTTCAGAGCGGGGCATTTCACGTATTTTTTGTTTGTTTTTAAAAATTGTTTACTGGTACACTTTAGGTATACGTAATGAACACAGTTACTGTAGGGAATTTGTATCTGTACGTGACATAGCTTATTTTTTATTTGTCTTGTTGAGACAGGGTTTCACTATGCAGTTCAGGTTGGCTTTGAACTTACTTTGTAGACAGGCTGGCCTTGAACTCGATGGATCCTCCTGCCTCAGCCTCCTGAGTGCTGGGAAATAAGTGTGTGCACCACACCTGTTTTACATGATGTGATCCTTTTTTCAACATTTCCCTACCCTCTACCCTCCCTTCAGTCTCTCTTCCCCTCCCAATTTCTAAAAGCTTTTGCTTATGTTTTTGCCTTTTTTGGTTTTCTTTTCCCTTCCTTCTAATGCACTTCATATTGAGAAGAGACTATTCCATCATAGTCTTACAATTGTTCTTGGCTCATTGAACCAGCAGAAACTATGGAACATTGTGTCCAAGCAAAATAAAGAGCATAACAAAGATCTGTCCACATGATAAATTAAAATACGCTGCATTTTCTTAATAGGTAAATGAGATTTGTTACAATTGAATAGAAAGCATTTGAGTCTTACATGTCAAAATTAGAACCTTACATGTCAAAACAAATATAAATGATGAGATATTCTGAGCTTTAAAAAAGATCCTATGTCTCTGACATATAATTTCTTGTTTATCTAGGAAGGAGAAGATGCTGTGCAGTTCGCAAACAGAGTTAAGTCTGCTATTGCTGTGCAAGGAGGATTGACCGAACTTCCCTGGTGAGAAGGTTTTTAGAAACAGCATTCATTAAAAAGTCACTGTTAATAAGCATTCTTTACTGTGCTAGTTAGCTGTAAGCTAAGCTAAAAGGGATGGCAATTTCTGCAGAATAACAGACAGTAAGGGAGACAGATGTTTGTCTCTTCCTTAAACACGAAGCCTCCAGGCCAGGCCAGTGTACCTGCCCAGCCAGCTCTGTGCTCTTTCATCTCTGTGTGCCTTTTCTTCACAGTCTGAGATGGCTGCTCCGGTTCTGCCCAGTGCAGGAGGAAGGAGTTTACGGAGAAGGACACAAGCCTCTGTCCCTTTTTAAAAAATTTTTTTTGGTCTTTTTTTTCATTTTTATTGGTACCAGAGATTGAACTCACAACTGCCTGCTTGCAAGGCAGGTACTTATGCCGCTGAGCTAAATTCCCAGCCCCTTTTATGATTTTTTATTTATTTATTTTTGTCTTTTTTTTCATTTTAAGCCTCTGTCTCTTCAGGAGCATACTCTGGGTGGGTGTTAGGTATCCACTTGTGTCCATTGGCTGGTACTGAAACCCCTTGAATCAGCCACCTACAAAGGACACTGGGGGACATAGTCCATGTTCTAGGTAGCCATGTTCTTAGCTAAGGTTTAGGGCTCTGATATCGAAGAAGAAAGAGAAAGTAGGTTTAGGGGGGGTACAGGGGACTGCTCACAGGCTTGTTCATGTTTTTAATCTAGCTGTAACTATATTGAACTAATGATAGCTATTAAAGCATAAGTAGAGTAGTTTAGTTATGAATGACTATGGCTTTCATTTTTTTGTTTGATTGAGGAAGAGTTGATGTAGGTGACTGTATTAGCTTGCAGTGCCATAGTGGATAACATAGGTTTGGTGTGAAAAGATTTTTCTCACAGTTGTAGAGGTTTGAAGTTAGGGTGCCACAAGGCCAGTTGCTGGCCATTTGCCTCTTTCCCTGGCTCACACAACCTTTGCTTTGAGAGGAGCCAGGAGATCGATAATATCTCCTCTGTGAAGTGCTCTAATCCTGTGGTGAGGGCCCACCCTTATGACCATCTGATCTATCCCCACTCCCTTTCCAAAGGCCGTGGACTGGATGTCAGTGCTTTAACTCGGGAATTTGGCGGGTCCACTCTGTAACAGTGAGGGTCACCTTTACCTACTTTGTAATGGCAGCTTGGATCCTTGCACAAATGTAGACCTTATTTTATCAAGCTCTCCCAAGACGGTCCTATATTTCAAGTCATACAGATTCAACAAAATCCCCACTTCCTTTTTTGGTATTTTAAAAGTACTCTACGTGAAAAGTTCATTTATAGTCATCAGGTGGCCAAGTAGGGCCTCAGGATTAAGGTGGAAGCCTCTAGAAGAAAGGCGAACTGGAGCCTTATGCTTTTTGGTACAGCGATGGGGACCCAGTAGACTACTGCACCCCTTGACTTCTGAACACAGGAGTGAGCAAAGTATACAGTGACTATTTACACCTTTAAGAGCTTATTACAGTAAAGGACACCTTGCCCTGAGTCCCCCAGAATCCTGCCCCTCACTTAAAACACCCTTCTTCCCTCCGTCTCCCGCTGCCGAGGGCAGTTCTGGAGGCTCTGCTCTGGTGTCTTCATGGGGCGTGGTTAGAAGTGCAGCGAACGCTACCCACTGCTGGCCGCCGTCCATGGGAAGTCCTCCCCAGGTCCGGATCTTTCCCACAGTCAGTGCAACCACGAAAGGGAATGCTCTGAATCCACTCAGGACACTGAGGCTCCAGGGCGTGCAACTGCAGACACGCAGGAAAGAGGACTCAGAGCTGCTTTAGAAGGTGGCGGGGCGATGGGATGAGTGTGTTTGGGGATGGGACATGGGGTGCTGTCTTCAGGGGCTAATAACAGCATTGAATGGTTTAAAAACTAGGTGTTCATTGTGCCTTTGGGTCACACCTCATACTCTGCATCATTTCTGTGCTTCCTGCTGCTGCAAACCAATGCAAATGCTAGGAGCAGCGGGGTAGCGCGCTTGGGTAAAGAGCCCACACGATGCTTCTGAGGCCCGACCGCAGTGTTGCCCATTTGGCGGGAACCTCCCACCACCGGCCCCAGTGTACTGTGGCCTGTGGGCTGTTCTTAGCGGGGGCCTCAGGTGCACGCTGAATCTGGGCTTCATCCCCCCAGTCCTGCAGTGTGCTGGGTCTCAGCCAGGCGGCCGTGGAGGCTGCCTCTGTCCTGGTGGCATTGAGCTCACTCAGGAAACTGCAGTCGTTCATCACCATCTGAAAGTGCTGGATGGACATTCATGCCTGACTAGGTTACAATTAAACAGTGACAGCATGCAGTTCAGTCCCCCTCTGCTGGGGTAAGGCCTGCAACACTGGCACAGCAGGGAGCCCAGGCTCCTGGCTGCTCCCTGAGGAGGGGGAGGCACAGAGCACCCTTTGAGCCTGGGCAGATCTGCCTGCTTCACCACGGAAGGGTCTCAGTGAGCACAAGCTGCGGCTTAGGCATAGACTTCCGGTCGGGTGCCTAATTTATGATTTGATTTGTTTCCAGTCTGTCTTGGAATATGAGAGAGTTTAAATATTCAGAATTCAGTGCTTTGGATAAAAACAATTCTTGGTAAACGTGGGATTATAGTTGTCACAATCTGTTTATGGGTAAGGAATTTGCTCACGCAGATGTAACACTGCTGTTTCACAAGTATTTAAGTTTTGCATATGGTTTTCCAGTAAGACATAGGTAGATGAAAAACCTTTTGTTGCCTTTGGGGAAAATATAGGGAAACAATCTTGGTTTTAATAATCCGTATTTAAATTCAGATGTGTAACACAGCAACCCTAACTTCTAAAAAGTCGCCTGAGCCGAGAAGATGCTGTTCCCTATTTACCCCGGTGACCTCTGGTTGGTAGGTGGTAGCTCAGAGACTGAACTCTTGGTCTTCCTGCTGCCCAATGCAGTGTCCTTTGTCCCCCTGTTGTCACAGCAGCTTGTGGAACCTGTTAATGTGTGCTTTGTACATCCTGTTGGGAGAATCTTTGATCGATTTGACTTTGTTTCCAGGGATGGCGGGCTGAAGAGAGCCAAAGTGAAGGACACCTTTAAGGAGGAGCAGCAGAAGAATTACAGCAAGATGATCGTGGGCAACGGTGCCCTGGAACTGGACGGGTGACCCCCAGGAGCACTTGGCATCCCATGCCACTCTTACAAATGCGTGATTGGGGGATTTGTTTTGGTTGTTTTTAAACAATTGATTCTGCTTCTTTGTAGTTTTGATGTTTTGAGACAGGGTTTTGCTATGTAGTTCAGGCTGGCCTTGAATTATATAGCCCCGCTGGCCTTGAACTTGTGGCAATCCTGCCTCAGCCTCATGTGTGTAGTGGGGTTTTTTTTGGGTACTGGGAATTGAACTCAGGACCTCGTTCTTGCCAGGCAAGTGCTGTGGCTCTGAGCTGTATCTCCAGCCCATAATGTTTTGCTGTTATTATTAATCTTTTCTATAGAATGATTGTCTGTACCTCTTGATGCCAGAGGCAGAGCCAGCAGGTGCCCTTTGGGTCCTTGTCATTGCTCCAGCATGAACCGGGGCCTGAGTTTCCTGAGTTAGAGCAGATTCTGACCTCTGTGAAAGGCCAGTGTCATGGGCAGTGGGATGAAGGAAGAGCTTCCGGAGTGTGTTCGCAGCGTGTTGATAGACTAATTCTCCACGTCCACCCTGTTCCCTGACTTGCTTCCCCACACCTTTCACTCCGGCGTGGGTGGGCACCACCCTGGGGTGAGGGTGCCGTCCTGGTGGTGTCCCTGCTGCAGGGCCGGCTGTGGGTTCAGGGGTGGGTTCTGGTCTGAAGGTGGAGAGGAAATGTTCGTTATCTTCTATTAATGTGTTGCAAGAGAACTGCTTTTTGGTTCTTCCCAAGGGAAAACGGTGGCCCCGGGTGAGGGTGTTTATGTGTGGGGACACGCGGCACATTTCATCCTGCCAGCAGTCACAGAGGGCTCGGCTGTTTCCGTTTGTCTGCTGAATGCACCCTCCTGTTGACAGGTGTGTTTGCTTTTCTAACTAAACATGTTTTTAAGTGGAATCTTTAAAATGCCATTGGTTGGGGGTTTAGCTCAGTGGCATAAGCGCCTGCCTTGCAAGCAGGCAGTCGTGAGTTCGATCCCTGGTACCGATAAAAACGAAAAAGACAAAAAAAAAAAAAAAAAAAAAAAAAAAGAATGAGGGAAGTGTGTAAAGTCCCCTTCCACCCTCCAGCCCTGTCTGGTTTATTCTTCAACTTCAGAAAAATAAGTAAAGCAATTGCCTTTTGAGAACTGAGCCTTAAGTTTTTTAAAGAGAGAAAGAAGCTTCCCCAACAGAAATAAACTTAGCAATGTTTGGTAGCAATATAATGTACAGAATGTGAACTATCTCACCGTGGATATAAATAAATTTTATATTTTTAAACGTGTGTTGCATGATTTCCCATCTCCTCTCCCTCCTGTAGGTTTTGAGTTAAATTCCTTCTTAGGACAGGGGTGGTTTTCATTCCTCACTGAGAGAGCGGGGTGGAGCCGTGACCCCCAGGGGAGCTTGCACACAGGGTCAGGTCACTGCCTTTCTCCCCCCCTCCCTGCTGTGAGCTAGCCCCTCCCCAACTCTGCTGGGGTAATCAGTACATCCACCTATGCTGAGGTGACCCTTGTCTTATTGTTGTTTTTCTCAGAGCAGTTCCTTTCCCTTTTTTCATATTCAGTATGGCTTGAACTAATGAATCCATTTAGTCATCTGATGGTCAGAAGCTGATAGAAGAGCTAATAGCTGTTGGTTTAGACATAGATTAACGGTGTCTTTCCAAGCGCACTGAATGCGGTGGTGTTACTGGGCATTCCCTGCCAGTGCCGGGCTCCCTCAGCCAGAATGTCCGTCTTGCAGGCTCTGGCTTGTACGGCTTTCAGGTTGCTTGAGGAATTCTCATGTTACTGGAAACATATTTCTGGAAAGCAAACATTGCTCAGATCTGGAACCTCCATACTCTTGTTTTATATCCATGTTGGAAATAGAGCGTCCAGCCTTTAGTATTTCTGCATCTCCATACAGACCTCGTAATGACACTTCAGAGGTGGGTGAGACTCATGAATTGAGTCTCAAGTGCGGTTGCCCTCGGTCTGTTCCAGCTCTGACCTGGCTGTATTTACACATGGCAGGCTTCAGCGATGCCAAGGGTTCTGAGGTCCCTTGGCACAGCCAGGCATGGAGAAGCAGCTGTGTGTGAAACAGTAAACAGACCCGAGGCACAGGGAACTAGTCCTGAGCAGCAGCTGGCGCAAAGGGCGGTCTCCAGGAGGTTTCCTGGCACAAACAGACCTTCCAAAGCGTCGTCGGCATCTTGCTGGTCCCCTGGGCATACAGAGCACGTGGGCATTGTGCCGGTGTCTTGGGAGGCTGGGCCATTGTTCCTGAAATACAGAGCTCCTGAGCTACACCTCCAGCTGGGCAGAGAAGGGGAGAGGGGGGATTGGATTGGTACTGGAGGTTGGGGGCCCTAGTGTGGATCTTGACAAGAGCATGGTGCCTGCCTGCTTTTTAACGCTTGTTCCAAGTGGTTACAGTACTGGTGGGCATTTGTTAGTAATGATGAAAGTGAGCGGATAAAACCTCCTGAGACTTTTTAGTTCTGGCTCTCGCAATGTTTTTGCAATCTCTTACAGTTGTCCAGCTCCCCTGGTCTTAACATTTCTTGATGAAACAAAATACAGTGAATGTAATGGAACATGTCAAGAACAGTGGCAAAAGCAAGTCCCTTAAGGCTCATTACCCAGACTAATAAGCAGAACATGACTCTACCGAGGAAAATCTGAGAAACTCGTTTCTGGCCGGGCGTGGTGGCACATGCCTGTCATCCTAGCACTTGGGAGGCTGAAGCAGGAGGATACTGTGAGTTTGAGGTCAGCCCAGGCTACGTGGTGAGTTCAAGGCCAGCCTAGATTACAGTGTGAGACTCTGTCTCAAAAATAAAAAGTCAATTTCTTGTTCCAGTTCCATTTGATGGATAAAGGGGCTATTTCTAGCTTTGTCATAAAAATCCTTGGATGTGTTTCCCGGTGGACTTTCCCAGGAATTTCTCTAGTTTGTAATTTAGGAGGAGCTGGGGCTGCTGCATGAAAAGGGCATAGGTTTAGGGTATAAAAAGCCAATCTTGTACCATTTTATTCAAGCCCCAGCATTACGTGAGAACATCTGTGTCTAGTGTGGTGACATACTTGGATTTATTGTTATATTTGGGTCTTCTCTTCCACCTTTTCTTGCAATTATTACGTCTCCCATTTATTTCTCTACATAAATTGAGGATTATTGAACTTACTTTTATTTGTTCTGTGTTACCTTAAAATTTTCAATTTGGATGCTTACCACATTCTAAAGTTGAAATTTTTCCTCTCCAGTAATCCAGGAGTCCTGGAGGTTGAACTCCAGTGGGCCCTGCCCCATTTATGTACTGTAGGTTTGATCTGCCGCGTTCATGGCTGCATGGGTTAGGAGGTGGGACACGGCTGGGGGACACAGGTCGTGGGGTGCGAGCCTCTGACCCCATCCTCTCTGGCCCTTTGCTTCTCTCTCTGCTTCTCGGCCACCATGAGATGAGTGACTTCTCTCTCTCATTCCCATCTGCCGTGATGTTTCTGCCCCACATGGGCCAGAAGCAGCAGAGCCCAGAGGTTGTGGACTGAAACCTAAAACCGTGAGTCAGTATAAACTTTTCCTCCTCAAGTTGTTTTCCTTGAATGTTTTGTCACAGATCTGTCATCTTTTGTGGAATGCCATCTTCTCATCCTCCAGAGGAGGGATTAGAGCACGTAGTTGCCTACTCTACTTTGCCTGTTTGTGTCAGTTACTTTTTATTGGAAGGCAGCTACACTTTTTTTTTTAAAAATTCATTTTATTTCAAAGAGAAAAAAAGGGAAGAGAATATAAAATAAAATTCCCGAGCATGCCACACTCACTGGTTTCCATATTGTCTGTATCCCCTGTCCCAGCAGAGTTGGGCAGTTGCCATGAGGATCCCGTGGTCCACAAATCTGGATATTTGCCACCTGGCTCTTCATTCTGCAGCTTGCCTGCCTGCCCACTAGGCCAGCATCAGTCTGAGAGCACTTGAAACAAGATTACTGGCTGCGATTTATTGGGCCTTGTAAACAGTGAGTCTTTGTAAACCCAAATGAACGTCATCTTGTGCTTTTCTTTTTTTTGTCTTTTTGACACAGAGTCTCACTGTGCAGTTCAGGCTGTCTTGAGCTAACTTTATAGCCCAGACTGGGCTTGAACTTGCAACAATCCTCCTGCCTCAGCCTCCCGAGTGTTGGGATTTCAGGTGTGTGCCACCACACCTGGCCATCTTGTGCTTTTCAATTTCTTGCATGACATGATAATATTTTTGATTGACCCATGTGTATTTGTAAGTAGTTTGTTTATTTTTTAGGAGATGCGGTCTCCTGCTGTAGTGCAGACTGGCCTCAGACTCACTGTACAGCTCAGGCTGGCCCTCGCAGCTCCTGACCTTGCCGCAGCCTCCCCAGTGCTGTGGTGCCATCTGTGCGCTGCCACACCCAGCCCGGTGCATTTCTTGTGGTTGCCAGGAGGTTTTAAGTCCTTAGAGGAAACTTATTTTTCCCTGTCACTGAGCCCTGTAGTAGCTCCCAGTGGAGATGGGGGATGGTGACATCCTCATTTGCACACGGGATGTACCCCTTGTGTGTCCCCCACCCAAGGCGGGCCTTGGACTTCCAACCTGGGCAGCCTCCAACTGTGTCTGTTGTCCTTCAGGCCCTGGTCTGTGCAGGAATCAACGTCAGGGTCAGCCAGTGCCTGCAAGGTGAAAGCCAAGCCTGGGCCTGGGCTGGGTTCCCCAGCCCTGGCCTGGCACAGTCCTAATCTCAGGAGAAGCAGATGCAGTCGCATTAGTTCTTGTTACTTATGGAGGTTGGCAGATACTTGTTGTTACCATTAAAAATTCTAGAGATATCTGTAAATTAAAAAATTATCAGTATTTTAATCTATATCAGAGCCCCTATTTTAACAAAGAGTAAAACTGCTCCCTTAGAATTATTTATTTGGAAATTAAATCGTTTGCTGGAGGATTTTTTCCCATCCCCCCTCTCTCTCCCTTCAACCCTCTTCCTCTCTTTGTTTACAAAAGCTTTGTTTCCATTTTTTCCAGTCTCTTTTCCTCCCTGCTCCTCTGTTCCCTTTCCCATTTGAACCTTTTCCTCCCATTTCCCAGTACTTATTTTACATTCTGGTCGTCCTTTACACTCTTGGTTTCTCACGCCCGAGAAACCATGTGTTACTTGAGCATGTGCATGTGATTTATCTCATTAGGAGTGTGGTCTCCAGGTGCCTCTTTACCTGGAAATGCTGGAAGCTTATCCTTCTTTATGGCAGAGTAGTACTCCACTATTTAAAAAATCACTTCATCCACTCACTGACCGTTACATTCAGTTCCTTATTACTTCCATCACTGCCACTTCAGAGAGTCCAGTGGATGGCTTTCACGTCGTCCCATCTCAGTGCCCCCTGAGTTTCTCCGGTGAGCTAGAGTCTGGGGTTGCATCTTGCTGATGTGTCTTCTCATTTTTCTTTCTTTTTTTCGTTAATTCCTGGGTTGATTCTTGTCAGTTGCTTATGGCAGGTAGCTTTATTGCTAGTGTTTGCTACCCTTAGGAAGTCACTACCTCTTAGAGATATTTTCCAGGTATAGCTGGCCCTGGGTTTTGAGTCTGTTAAGGTGTTAGTTTTCCATTTGTTGGAGATGAGAAGGTGCTGCCTGCTGGGTCTCCGCTCTGGCCCACCGTGTTTTCTGTGACTCTTAGGTAATCTCAGTCTTGCTACTCCAGGGAGAACAGCTCATTGACAATTGTGTCACCTTGCTTGAAGTAGTACAGTTGGCAATCGAGCATCTAACAGCCTAGCAGGTGACAAACTGAAGTAAATACTGCTTGCCATGCTTAACCGTATGAACTAGCTTTGTGGTTCTATAACAAGATCTAAACTGAACCAGAAAATTGTGCATAGTAAATAAGCCCTCAACATGGCAATTTTACCTTTAGGGGAGAAATTTAAAGTGGGTTAGGGGAAAAACAGAGAAATAGAAGAGGAAGAGATTAGAAGCCAGGCTGGAGGACAAAAGATTAGGTGAACTCTGGGAAACTAGTGAAGAAGACAGGAGGGAAAGAGAAGGAAAAATAAATGTAAGAACAACAAATGCTAAAAAATATTCATATTCACGTGCACTGGCAAACAGAAACACTGAAAGGAAACCCCGGATTTGGAGATAGATTCCTTTAATCATTGGCACTGATTGGGCTCACTCCCAGGACACCAGGCCCTGCTCTCAGGTCCAGGGCTTATCTGAGGTAAGCAGGCAGGAAGTACAGAGGCAGAATGGTGGTCAGTTGAGGGCTGGTTCTTCA